AAAAAAGCTCTGCCTCTGTTCTGGGAGCAGATCTGCTCTCTGACCTTATCTGCTTTGAGGGCCCACTGCACTGGCTGCAACATCCATGGAAAAGGAACAGAACATTTTGCACTAAGGAACTGTAGCATTGGATGTAGCGTTGCCTGAAGCATTTGTTTTTTTTTTTTTTTTTCCAACAGCTTTAATGAGGAAATGGAAAACACACCTGGGTGTGAAATGTTAGGTGCCAAAAAGCTGAGATCCTGAGGGCAGCCAATCCACCCCTGCTGAGTGAGCTTTGTTAGCACCAATCAAATTAGTGTCATTTAACCCACCATTTCCAGTACAGTCTGCAGCACAGATCAGCCCCTTGACTATGCTGGAAGCCCCACCCTCAGCCTGGGGACAGTCTCTTCTCATGGCAAAAAACTCACTAGCAGCGAGAACAGTAGCAGTGATCAGAGGTTTCTGCTTGGCTGTCACTGGGCCATGAGGCTTAATGCAGCCTTGAGCAGGCTGTGAGCACCGTGAAGAAGTGTGTGGGCACCTGTGTGGCCTTCAGTGCTGCAGTTCTCATCAAGAGCAATGTAACTTCCCAGGGCATTCTTGGGCTAAACTTTTCTCCCATTGGTTTTGAGAGAAGGGTCTTTGCAAGGAAGTTCTGGTGGTGTAGGAAGGGGAACTGGGGAGTGTCAGTCCAGCAAATGTCCTTCAAATGTGAAGGCTTTCTTCTCAGCAAACTAAACAGCTGCTCATCTATGGAGGTCATCCTTGCGGTCGCTCTCCATTGAGAAACTGGAACTGGTTTACTCTCACCTATTTAGCATACCAAGCAGAACAGCAACCTCTTCAGGAGAGCGCATCATCTGCCACAAAGAGTATGGGCCTGTACTTGTATCAAGAAAATGTTATTTGGCAAAAAGGAGAAGTGGAAATCAAAGTCATTTCTGTCAAAGTGAATGGAACTGCTCTAATGTAAAGTCAGCATAGCTAAGATCAATACCTTTACACACTGCCTTGTCATCTGAAACATTTGGTCTCTGTTTCTACTATGTAATTCATTAACCTAAAAATATTCAATATCCAATCCATGGGTAGGTAGGTAGGTATGTAGATAGGTAGATAGATATAAATGGTCTGCTAGGGAACCTGGTCATAGGAGCACAAACTCAAGCCCAGTTTACAGCATTCAGTTTGATAGTAGTGCTTGTTATTTTATTAATTTCGTTATCAAACACAAACTGAATAATCATAAAACAGCCACATGACACTTACATGACACAAATTCTGTTGCTCAAGGACTTCCTCAGAGACAAAATTTGCCTCCATAGCTAGAATATTACAATCAGCAGGCAGGCAAATCTTGAAATTCACTGAAGTTTTTGGGAATATAAATGATCACAGTTTTTCCACACACATTTTTTCCTGCAGTTCTCAATTAAAAATGTTTCTAAAAGTAATAAATATTCATAAATATAAAATGTATAGTCAGACTCACTTTTACAGCAAAATAGCCACTTTTTTGTTTCATTGTTGTCCACAAAATATGAAGAGAAACATTTACCTCAAAAGAAGAAACCCATCTTCCCTCAAGATTTAACTCTGCAGAACTTTACTTAAAAGCACCAGTCCAGCCACAACACAAGATATTTATCTCCTACCAATCATAATCTTTACATACTTCACTTAATGAAAAAATTCACTGTTTTAGAATGAGTATTTGGGTGTTTGGGATAGTTTTTGTCTCATTGAAGAAAAAGGAGGACAAACTGTCATTTATTCTTTGTTATTCAACCTTCATGATAACTACTACAGGAACTGTTAGCCTGCATCTTAATCTCAGAATTTGAGGCTACATTCGTTATCTGAGCCATCCTTCCACTCTCCCACAAAATGGGTTAGTGTAATGAATCACCTAGTTTCATCTTCCTTTTTTCCTTGTTTTCCACAGCTTTTGCTGTTGTCAAACAGTGTTTTAAACACCCTTTTCTTACCTTTTCCTCTGTACAGTACTTTGGCTAGAAACTTAAAGTTCTTATCCCCCTTATTGAGATTTTTTTTTTAAGTTTTTAAAAACTGTTGCTCACTCTCTGTGGAAGCCATATATTATGCTCATGTTGGAGAATGCACAAGTGTTTTGCAATTTCCCTTGCTGTGGTTCTGCTTTAACCCTATCAGCCAATTAGGATGTTTATAATTTGGTGAGAGATCTTTAGTCTTCTTAGTGGCTTACATGCCTATTGGCTCATGTTGCCAACCTCATACTTCTAACCCCCAGAGTCTCCTCTCCCAGGGCAGCTTTTCACCTTTTGCCTCTCCCCAAGTCTCTGGTTAACTGCAGGCAAATCATTATGCCCGTGTTATCCTCTACAGTCTTGTGCATGTTACAGTTGCATCCAGTATGGATGTGAGCAAAATTCAGACATTGAGTATGTGTGAATAAGAAATTGAACAGTAATTAGCTTCATATCCTGCCAGCTTTGAGTCAGCATGGAGAGTATATAGGTGCAACAAAGTTTTGCACAAAAAAGACAGTGCAAACCAACGTGTTTTTTCAGCAATTGAGGTAAATCTATATTTGGATTTCTTATGAGCATATTGTGAGACTGGTAAATCAAAACGGAAGTGTAGCTATTACTTCAGCTCTTTTTTTTAAGGGAAATACGGTTTACATTAAAAATTCTTCATTTCACCACTTACTTCATACAGACATGGGATTCTAAGAAGAAAGGTTTGGAAGCTGATACGTAATATGTTGTTAGAAAATGCACGGGTTGCAAGTTTCTGTTCTAGAGATGCAAATGTCTTGGAGGCTGCAAAACTTTGTTTTGAAGTGGAGCATTTACTACTTACAAATATCAAAATACGCATACATTCTATTATGAATACTGTAGCTGGCTCTTGATATACCAGCAACAGTTGCACTGTGATATAAATTTTATGAATTCTCCTCCTCTTACTGCACATTCTGATGCCTGGGGACCATGATAACAAGAAATGTGAGCATTTTGTAGTGGAAAGAAGAACGATACCAGGATATTAGAAGTTTAGTGTTGCCAGGTAACAACAGGCAGTAAACATTTTCTTCATGTGACAGCGCACATTTTGTACTCAAATCCTAGTCTGAGACCTACCTCCATTGTTCTTTTCTTTTAGTTGAACAAGTACAGCAGGTAGATTTATGATAGAACCCTGTAGGATTTGCAGTGGAGCAAGCTACTGTAACTTCTTCTCTTCTACCCTCTCCTCATGTGCAAAGTCCTTGGCATTTAAACCATGGAGATTGCCTCTCCTCCTGCACTGAAGCACAGCCAACCTGAACATCCTTTTATTTTGTTAGGGAAAGGAGTGAGGGAGTCCCAAAATGTACAACTCTCATTGAAGTCAGAAGGTTATTCAGTTTTCAGCTCATGTTTTCTGTCTTCGGGGTTTCATTGCTTGTAAAGCATCTGAAGTAACTGAAAATTTGGGAACGTGACTATACCTCAGCTGTCCAATCTAGCATTCTCAGCTTCAGTGGACAATGTTATTATTGGAATAATTAATCTTTAAAAAAATCAATCATAAGCACTTGTTTCACTTGTCTTGTTCAAAGGAATCTAATGTATTTTCATTGCTTGTAGTTCAGAGAGTAGCAATACAACTGGAATCAAAAATGTTAATGAGATTTTCTGATTCAGTTTCACTTCTAACTTCTCAACTATTCCCTGGGAGAATATAAAAGGATACCACAATATTGTCTAATCTCAGTGATTTTTATTGAGCCTGGTAAATTTGTTATTTCAGTTAAATCCTAGCTCTTGTAGTCATGGTATTAAATGATGATCATATTTTTAAATAAATAAGTGTGTAGCCCTTGGGACTACATAGGAAAAGAAAATCAAAAGGAGAGGGGACTCAAAACCAAAGGCAAACATTAGAAGGCTCAAATTGTAATGGTGTTGGCAGTACCGTCTTTAGTTAATTGTACACCATTCAAACCAGGCTCATAACTTCATGTATCCTCAATTGCCTACAAGGGTGTTTCCTCACAGAAATGAGCCCTGACTCCTCAACTCTAATGGCAACAGTTTAGGATCTTGAATCCAAATGGCTATACGATTTTTGTAGCACTGTCATATGGAGGAAAGCCAAATCTATAAGAGTAACAGTGACCAAAAAAAAAAAAAAAAAAAAAAAAGCAAAAGGAATTTTGATTTGCCCCTATGCTTTTCCTTCTTGGCTAGCTTCAAGATCATTCTCAGTGACTTAGAAAAGGGTCTGGATTTTGCTATCTGACCAGTCTCCCAGAACATTGCCACAGCAGGACATTGTTGGAGCCCAAAACACCTAGGACTAAACTGTGCCCAATCAAGCTACATGTAACTCTTGTAACATCAGTGAACGTACTTGGCAAATTGGATGAGAACAGTCTGAAACAGCCGCATTTTCTGGAAACAGTTTGTGACATACAGTTTGGGGAACTGTATATTTCTGCCAAGATTTTTCCTTTTATGTCTCCTTGACACCTGCTTTAATTTCCAAAACATGCAGCTATTTGGCTTGTAAGTTATTAAAGCTACCATTAGGACAACAGTAAAAAAATTAGCTGCTTATTTCAGTCTGCATTCAGTGCCTTCAGTCATACACCTGTGTCTTGTCACATTTTTCCAGGCATACGTTGACAAGATACTTAGGAATCTAAAACAGAGATAGGTAGCAGGTGGCATTCTTGAAGGCATCAGAAGAAATTAGGCACCTGACATTTTCTGAAGTGGCCTTCTCTTACAGATAGTAATATCACAGTAAAAACTTCCCACTTCATGGCTGTAGGAAGGTGGAAGCTCAGAACAACAGGTGTTTTATCTGATGAAAAAAAGGTGTCAATTGAGATACTTCAAATGGAAATACAGTAAGAATGGATTCTCATCAATAATCATCAATGAGTTTGATGGATCTCTTCACTTTCCCTTACAAATTCCAACTGGTAAAAGGACAACCTAGATCTTAAGAATTCCACTTGTCCCACTGCCATGCTAATTTATGCCATGCTTATTTGATTTCTTTCCTTTGGTCTCAGCTTGCACACCGACCTAGAAATCTAATAACTAGCTGCAATCAAAATGAATTGGAAACATTTGGTTCACTGAATGTCTTAGTTTGGTTTCAGAATGTCTTGTTTACAGAATCAAAAGTACTTTTATGGCATAGGTCACATGATCCTAGAGACCTTACCAATTTTTGTTCTTGAGAGCAACCAAAAAAACTTTCCAAAGTTGCAACTTCACCATGGTCTATTATTTCATTTGAAATGCTGGTGCTGGTGACCTTGAAATGCTGAAGGCTTTATCGTGGCTCTGGCTAAAACTCTGCCATAATCGGAACTGTGTCTATACATTTCACAGGTTCTAGGAAGATAAATTCATATAGTCCTTGCATTTGAACAGCACAAGCCTTCATTAAAACATTTCCCAGTACCAAAAGTCAAGGATGTATTTGCCAGAAATGCATCTTTGATATTTAGAGAAAAGCTGATATTTGTACTATCATTTGCTGAAGGCCAAAGTCAAGTTATACTTTGGAAGAGGCACCTAGTAACTTGGTAAATGCAAATTACATCATTTGCAAAACTGATCACTGAATGTTAATAGTTTTCAATTTTTTTAAGAAGAAAAGCTTTTTTCAAATGTCTTTTACTAACCACTCCTGTTTTGTATTAAACCCACTAAACACAAGATACTGGAACGTGTCTAATCAGTATATAACATCTCCACTGGAAACTGATAGTCAAGGACACCTAGCTCTTCACTATAATCAGAGAACTTTGTCAACTTAATCAAATAACTTTATCACTCAAATTAATAAATTCAAGTTGCAGAATATTGTTATATTATAATTAAAAACAACCAAATACATACATCTTGTACACAGAGAGATCACACCAGATCATAGTTAAAGCTAGATATAAATGCTTTGAGTAGTATCATACAATAATTCAGACTTGACATCAGAAAGATAAAATGCTTTTAATATTGATGACACTGAATAACACTTTTAAAAATCCTTTTATGTTAAAATTCTGAGTTGGAGTACAAGTTGCTGAATTCACTCTCCTTACATAGTATTTAAGCAGTGTGATCCAATGGTTATCCCCATAGTTGTGCTTCTTAGATAAAATCATAAATAAGATGCTTTTTTTTTTTTTTCTTCAGAAATTGAGACTGCTGTATTCTGTTTTTACATGAACAATCACAACTGACAATTAATTTTCTTCAGTTAAAAACACGTGTCACAGAAGATTAGTCCTATACCATTAACAGACTGACTTGAAAAATATAAGTATATATTGTGTTTATGTATAATGTGTATATATATACACTTAATATTCACAATAGAGAATCAGAACAATTTTATTGAAATTACTTTTTCAGAAAGCCTTCTATTGTGGCTTCATGTCCACATAAAGCATTGAGAATTTTCAAGTGTGCCATGTGAAAGAGGGTTTATTAAAACTAAAGAAAATATACTGGTGAAATATAGGGGAATATACTTTTTTTTTTTTTTTTTAACATACATTTTGCGATCTGCAGTTTTCACCAGTTGTAGCTTGCAAGTTACAAAAACTGAAATAATTATCTAAACTCAGTATTTCCTCTCAGCAGGCTGCTGCAAGCAGAGTTCACTCCCAGAAGAAACTATTGGCAAATTATTCTCGAGGTGATGATTGATGAGATGACTTATGCTGTCAAAGACACGATCTTTTGTACGAACCTTCAAAAAAAAGGATGCAAGAAGATGGATTAAGCACCAAAATACTTTTACCCTTAACTTTACACCAAGTTCTCTAAGAATGACACGGGACAACTGATCATGTCTTAGACACTGATTGTTCTTCCATCAGAAACAATAGAAATAAGTCTCTGTTTTGTCTATGACTCTTTTAGTCTCTCCAAATAGATACTTGGCTAGCTATCTATGGGTATACTGTTATTGCACTTGATAAAATAGGTCTGCTTGAAAAGTTTCCATACAACATTTTGCTTTGCCATAAGATGGACTTTTAGCTCAAGTTTTCTTCTTCAAGAAATTAAAGGCTCCTTACAAGTGTTTTCACTTTTTTTTTTCTTTTTTTTTCTTTTTTTTTTTTTTTTCTGGCAACATCAGAACCTCTCTGTGCACTTTAGCATCTCTGCCTTTTCCTCAACAAAGAAGGTACCAGAAAATATTGCTGGCTTCCACTGGAAAATTCTCTTTCCCTGAAGGTGACCAAACACCACTGCTATTTGACTTGAGGTTGCCCCATGCTGCATGCATAGTATCTGCTTGGGACTTCAAAACTGAAACACGTTAGGACGGGGAATGTAATTTTCTCTGGCCCTCTTACTAGCATTTGTACCAGTATCCTTCTGAGTGAATTATTACATCTGTGATATGAGAAAATTAATGTGGCAAGGTAAACCAGTCACAGCTAGAAAAGATCAAAACCTAATTTATATTACAAAGAGATATTCAAATTTATAACTTCATCTTCTCAAAACATTTTTTTCCTTTTTACATTTAAAACTACTTCAGGCATATAGTTCCACAGGCAGAGTAAAGCTGAAATAGTGCTCTGTATTGGGATGGCACTACAATGTCACAAGAAAAAGTGTATAGACGCTGCTCTAAAATTAGGCACATCATCTATTTTCCTTCAACTTTTCTCAAAAACAGATAACAACTTTTATAATCTATTTTTTTGTTAAAACTTTCCAGAAATAATGTACTTTAGTGAGCACTTGAAATATTTCAGTCTTCATAATAAAGTTCTGGTAACATTATTAGAATCTGGGATACAATGTCACAGGAAAAGGAAACAACAAACAACTTTGATAGCAAATGATGCCTTCCACACAGCTGCACATGGCTGCCTCACTAAAGAAAACCAGCAGGCTCTCATAATTTTTCATTCTTCTTTAAAAACAGCACTTCCTGCCATTATTCAAAGCTATATTTTGAAAATTAAGATATATTTATAACATCAGGAGCTTCCACTGTCTATATTCAAATCAAGATATTTTCAGTCCTTCTAACTCAAGTTAGAGCTTTCTCACCATCAGCAGCACACATCATCCTCACTAGTGTTCAAGCTCTAATCCTAGACCAAGTAGAAAGTTTGCAGTCCTTACCTTTAGCATGCCTTATCTGAACAAGTGCTTTTTTTTTGAGCTGGATCAGAGTAGAAGCATCAGGACAGTTAAATCTGCTCTCAAAAAAGACCTTGAGGGGTTGTAACATGCTGCTAGATAGTCTGTGTGTGAAGTGGCTGTTAGGCACGCTTTGTATGAGCTAGCTTTTACAGATTATCGCTCCGAGGCCATGCAGAGAAGCACATGCCACCAGCACGCTGCTGAGACCTGCCACACACAGCCATTTTATGGACGACTGTGGCAAATCACAAATAAAGCTGCTCAGGAGTTGTGTCGGGACCCTACAATTCATACAGACAGCTCAACTAACCTAAATTTGGCTCGTTACTGAGTAGTGCCTCGCAAGTCAGCCAAACCTGCTGCAAAACAGCAGAAATATTTGGAGAGCCCTGCCAAGGTGTGCAGAAACCGTCTCTGGCCTTGGTACTCTCTGCCAGCCAGAGGAGTAACATACACAACTATCATCAGGCTTCCATACCTCCCAGCTTCAAATTTCTGCACCTGCCACACCATATAGCAACATATTCCTTGCAAAAAGTAGCCTATAGTGCTTATTTTTAAGAAAGAATTAGTGGGTCTTACTGCAGGAGTCAGACAGCACTCACCAACATTTTAAAGAAGGAGGCTACTCCTACTGGTAAAGTCCAGGCCAGAAGCTGGCACATAAAAGTTTTAAAAACAGTCTTTGACTGCCCTCATGTGTCAAAAGTAAGTAAGTAGGCCAGAGAGTGCCATGGTTATTCTGATTAGTGTCTACAAGACTAGCACAATTCTCCTGGATCTTCTTTCTGCAGGTTTCTCAGCTGAAATGGATGCCAACAGGCCATGTACTTCCCAGGAGTTTCTCATTTACTTTGTGGCCTTTAATGCTGTTCTTTATAGTGTAAGAGGAGTTGCCAGTTACCAGCTGCCAGGAGCCAAGATTAATGTACACCAATGCTCACTGAAGCCTGCCTCAGCCTCCCTAGAAGTGCAACAAGACAGCTAGAGAAACAAGAAGTTCTTGGCACTCACTGTGCTGCTGCTGGGAGGCTTCATCAGTTAAAGGAGTCTTTGCAACAAAGTGATGATTTCTGCTCCATAATCTTCCCCGGCACCGAGGTCAGGCTAACAGGCCTGTAGTTCCCTGGATCCTCCCTGCAGCCCTTCTTGTAGATGGGAGTCACATTGGCAAGCCTCCAGTCTTCTGGGACCTACCCATCAAGAAGGAGCACTGATAGGCGATGGAAAGCAGCTCGGCTATCACCTCCGCCAGTTCCCTCAGCACTCTCTTTCTTTTTTATCCTATCTGTCTCCTAGCTTTCAGGGCTGGAAAACTTCATGGCTTGGGGGACTTGGTCTTGGTCCTCAAAACTGCTGGCACAAAGACTGGTTGAACTTGCACGGCCACCAGCAACTAGAAGATTAAATAAGGACTTAGCTACACTTTTGAGTAAGACAATACTGCAGTGGCCAAAGCTGGGGAACCTCATCCCTAGGCTTCCTGCAGTTTACCTAAGTCAAGCAGGATGTCTTCATCTACCCCTACAGTGTGCAGAATTCATGCAGTACATCTTCGCCTAGGCATTAGGAGAGAAACGGATGTAACTGGCATCTAACAGGAGGCTTCCATTACAATCAGTTGCAAATAAGATTAAACACTGAGAGAAAATAGAGAGTCAGAAACATCCTATATTACTGAGTCATACTTACAGTTCCTTCTGGATCCACCAAAAGAAGGTGTTTGGCTTGTCCATTTTGCATGCCTGTCAACACATAAGAACCTGCATTTGTGGTGCTCTTTCTCACAAGGAAGTCTCCACATTTCTTTAACAGCTGTTCAGCTTCTTTCCTACTCATCTCTCCTTGATACCATGGCTCTATACTCAACTCTTCTGTTCTAGTCCAGTCAGCAGTTCTACATAAGAGAGGACTAGTACATTCAACAGAAGTCAATTTACTCGGCACGGACTCAGATGTTTGGTTCTTGAGGGCATCTTCAAATGGTTCTGGTTGTGGAAATAAAACAAGTGCAAGAATATTCAGAGGTAAATCATATTGCAAAACACTGATATTCCAGTCATTTTAAACTTTACTTATTTTGTGTTCCAGCCGCTTCTCTTTATCTTTAGGAAAAAATAAAAAGAGGGAGAGAGTTGTGGTGCTGGGTCTACTGATTTATGTCATATACTAAGACTAAGGAGTGTAATATGTTAAAATAATATGTGACATGCAGAAAAATAGTGACAAAAATCAAAGTGAACCTTAGCAGGAGCTTTTGAAACATACTGATTTTTTTCGGAAATGGCCATTGTCAACAGTTGTATTTATATAACCTGGTACAGAGCAAAGCTGTCCTTTTGTCTTACCAGTTACATCACTCAGTCTCATTTCAAATAAATTGCATAATACTGGTACCCAAAGTCAATATAATCATATCTGTTCCATCGTCAAGCAACATACTCACTTAACAGTTATCCATTACTGAGTCTCCAGCCCACTAGTATCTGTAGAAAGATTCAGTCACGCTGATTACTCAGCCTCCTCAAAGCCTCAGCTTAGGGAGGGGACACAGAGGCAGACTGGTGATTTACCTCAGTGAAATCAGCCTTTGAGAAACAATATTTTAAATTTCAGCTGAATCTTTAATCCCAAGAGTGGAATGAAAAGATGTGTCATTAAATATTCCAGCAGTCATAGAGAAATAGTAAATTGGTCAGTGCATGCTTCACTATAGGTAATAGAAGCTATTTGCTCTTTCCAGATTTTCATCTGGCCAAGCAGAGCATATTATAAAGACATATTTTTTTGTGCCCTTGCTTTACTAAAGAACGTCTGCAGAGCAGTACTGTGAAGCATTACAGAAGCATTATAGATTGCTCTGACTCTAGGGACACACAGCCATACTTGTATAGGACCACTGAGAAGTTATTTTAGGTCAAATTAAAGGGACACATACAGCGATTTCACGATTTAGGTAATTCTTAAATCTATCTTGTGTGTGTCTTCACTACATTACAGTCTGCACAAAGCTGTGTTTAACTTGACAAATTACTAACTTTGTTCAAGTTGACATATTTTCAGGTACTACTTTTCCATTATGTTCCAATGGTCAATAAAGTATAACGCAGGCTGGAACATGAGAAATCAGCTTTCATTTTTAGGAAAAGAATATGTTTAGTAAAGAGGTAAACATGTCTATATTTTAAGGGCAAAGCTGTTAGAAATCAATGTTAACATGCATAATTTCAGACAGCAGACTTTTCTCATTTCATACATATGTACACTTTCTAACTTTCTCCCCTCTCCCTTTCTTTCATTCTAAAATCAGTGAAAACACGCAGAAAGACAATTTTTACTAAGATATAAGAAATGGAGACAGGTTATTATATACATAAAGAGTAGAACAACAAGAAAAGTTTCCTATGCATCAAACAACTTTTTTTTAAGTACCTGCTCATGACTAAAAACACTGTATATGGGTAGAACCAGCAGCAAAATGATGCTGATGCTGATGCTTAAATCTCTATTTTAAGACAGTAAATAAGATATTGGCTTTGGGAACGCTGACTTTTAAGTTAAAAGAGATAGCTAGGTAGGATTGTAGTCCTACCCAGAGGAAGAGATAATATACTCTTGTGATTTCCCACTCAGATTCCATGCTGCATGAAGTTTTTGCTGTATGCATTGGCTTTTTAGTAACGTGTACTTAGGGCAGGCAAGGAGATAGTTCTCCAGCCATTCACTCACTTTCCTGCATGACAAGGTCCATGATTAATTAACAATTAACACAGATCTAGTACAAATTAGCTTCAAGACTTTGGTCAACTGCATTTTTAACCATGTAAGATATGAAAGCCCTGTGATTTCTAAAACTCATCTTAAGTTCACCGGAACACTAAAATTCCATCTGGACAATTCTATAATTATTTGTGTGCAGAATTAATGCATAAAGATATTGATTTTCCTGTTAGAAAGAAAATGAAAAAAAAACAGAGCTTACTCATGTCAAACAGATCCTTTCCTGGGCTGCTCTCTTTGGTACTATCTGTGTTTCCACTGATGTCACTTTCAGCATCTGCCTGAAGTGCCAATAGAGTTTCCATATTTATATGCTGTGTGTTCACATACGTTGGCATCTCTGCTGTTGTGGCTGCTTGTGATTTCCCTTTTGGCATACCATAAATAACCGGTAATCCTAGAAAAAATTTAAGAGATTTTTTTTTTCTTCTTACTTTTTTTTATTTTACAGAACAGTGTTGTTAGAAAGACCAGATGACAAAATCACAACCCATCACCATACGTTTAAAATTTGCTGGAACAGGAGCTGGAAAGATAGTAACTGATGAACCTTGTAGGAAAAAATGCTGATGAGTGGACAGAACTGTGTTTCAGTGAATTTTAATTATTCAGGAAGGAAGGGAATTTTTTGTAAATAAAGATTGTGAGTTTCTAAACTAATATTCAGCTGGGGACTTGGAAGGAAAGGAAATAAAATCCCCAAATTGCTGTACATTAACAGCAGACAACATATTCCAGCATTTGAAAATAGAGTCCCCAGAAACACCTCAAAGCTGTCACTTAAGGATGGATGGGGTAAAATTATATACAGTGTATGGGAACTGCTAAGTCATGGCCTGAACCTCTGATTGATCACCTGAGGTGAGCAATGAGTCAGCCATGGAAGCACAGGTGAAGGCAATTCACCTGTACTGCCAGAAGAGGTGGAGAAGGTGGATCACTTCTGGAGATCCACTCTGATGGAGTTTTCTAAGAGCCCGGGATACAGGTAAGTGTCCTATCTATTCTCTTTGTGTTATTATAATCAGCTTTGTCTAACTCTTTTGATTATTTCATAATCATAGCATCTTAATATTCTTTGATTATATATACAGACATTTTGATGTGATTTCCTTATAATTTACAGGCAACAGAAAAATGAAAATTACACAGTATGTGTTACTTTTAGAGCACAAATGATGTGCAAACACATGCATTATTTCATATTTTAAAGTAGCTGCTGACTTTAGGCCCTTCCTTTGGAAACTCTGTCTTGCATATTCTTCTGGATCAGATTTTCTGAGAAGACCATAAAGCCTGTCTTCAAATACTACCCACTTTAAGGCTTAGCAAGCCAGATAGCTGAAAGCTTGGACCAAATCCATATATGAGTTGTTCTGCAAAATATACTTTTTTTATAAAACTGTACATTAAATAATTTATCCAGGGGCAATTATCATATGCTTTACACTAATACCAGCAATAAATTCTTATCAAAAGGTATCAGTGAAGTGCATTTCATTGCCTTAAGGCTTCAAGGCATCAGACTGCCACATGTTTTGCACACCCAAGATGTCTTGTAGTATTAAAATAAAACTAGCAAGTCTCACCTTGCTCCTGATGCCAGTCTTCATTGAATTTGTCTCCTAAGTGATGATTCTGGTAATAGATTTTCTCTCTTCTTATTCCTGCTGCAAACTAGAATGGACACATGTGCAAAGAAAATCTTTAAAACACTCTAGTATATTATGAGTGGTTTGGACAATTCCCTTGGTTGTATTCTGTGTACTCCCATTTTTCATTTGTAATTTATTATTGTGTCAAAATATATATTTCAGGAATGTGTGTAGGAGTAAGATATCACTGGTGACATTTATGAAAACTTCACTCCTTCCTGCTTTTATTAATTTCAAATGATGCTTCAGAGTATTTGCCTCCACAGGCAGCCCTGACATCCTATGGGAAAAGAAACTATATGTAGGATCAGTGGACACCCGAAGCACTCTATGAAGATGAAAGACTCACATTGTTACTGGAGGACTCACTCAGGTATTGATAGGAGATGTTTTCTGAAGACAGGGCCCTTAGAGATTTCAGCAGAATTGGGCTGGATTTAAAACACTTATGTAGGTACTACTGTAGGTAGTACTGTAGGTACTACAGTTAAACTTCCAACCACAATGCTGGCAGAAATATCTTAACTGGCTTCATTTCAGTGTGAGATGAAATACCTACATATGAATCTGGCTGAATACTAATTGCTGCGAGTTATTAACATAAGTAACTGTTAGCAATGACTATGCTAGACTGTTCAAAAGCCTCTATATTATTATTTTTACAGTTACTGTGCACTCATTTCATGCTGAGACAGACGTGGTGTTTACAAATACAGTAATCCTGAATGGGTTTATCTTCTTGAATCTACATAATTTTTTAACACCATGAAGAATTCATCCCCTTTGCCCTCAAAATGCCTAATCGCCTAATCTGTTGTCTCCTAGATCTTCACTGATCATTCAAAACTGAACTAGCCACACACTTATGTTTCTGACGTATCCACCTTGAAAGACTTTTTTTCAGATCCATCTGTGAGAAGGCAGAGATGCAGTTGCACTGACCTGAGCTGTGTCTGCAGCGGTGGGGATCTTTGCTTTGAGTCTGGCATCAATGAAGCCACCAGGAGGGGGCATTTTATTTGGGATATTATTATAATAGGGATGTTCTGCTGTTCCACTCTCTTCCTCTATCAATGGCTCATCAAAACTCTGCATCCTGTAAGAAAATGAGTGCTTCGTTTTATCCTTCACTCACAAAGCACTTACAGATACTTGCAGCATGTTAAAACTGCTTGTCAGGGAATCACTTCTGCATCTTATTTGGAAAACTCAGATGCTATTATAAGTTAAGAAGGAATGATGGATTATGCAGCGGACTCATTCTTTTTTGAATAAAATTTTTTGAATAATTTTTTGAAAACTCCCTTTGCAATGGGTGAAATTCCTTAGTCTGAGTAAAGGATGTTTTTATCTACCTTCAACAATCAGTAAAAACTGCATTAGCAAAATATTTGATTTAATTTCACGGTATCCTTTGTTGTATGATTACTTCATTGACTAAGCTCTAAATCATTGTCTTTAATTTTACCTACTCTAGCACCAGTAAATCTTCAAATTTATTCCAGTAACTCTGGAATAACTTCATGAAATCAAGAAATTGAATCTGTGATTTCAGTCACACTGGAAGCCCAGCAACTCTAATTCACTTCATCTAAATTAATAGAGTGACTATGAGAGCAACAACAATAAGGAAATGTCACAAGTTACACTCATTTTTAGCCATCCAGCTCTAAATATATATTACAACAGATAATACATAATATTTTAGTAATTCTACTATGGAATCCAGATTTACCTCATTCTTTTAAAATAGTTGTGTTCCTTTCATATTAATTAGGCAATCCAGGAATTGCCAATTTAGCAGAACTCTCTTTCTGAAGTATGTAAATCCTGTTCCTCTTCAGCAATTTCTTCTACAGCACACTTTAATAAATAAATAGAAAGCAGTAGATTCTTTAGTAGTCTTCTGTAGTCACACTCACCTATCATGGAAAGTAGGTATCTTAGAGGGGTACCGCAAGTATTGCTTAAATCGAAGCTCAAATGCTTGCCCAATGGTGCTGATGACATCCTGGGCAAGGCCATTACAGCATTCCAGTATATGACAAGCTACATGAAAAAGATTAACACATGGAAATTGTTACTTATGTTGGAGTGCGTGCAGTGCAGCAGGGATTTGCTGACCTGTGACAAACCATCTACACGTCAGGCATAGTTGCCCTATTCATGGTATGTGTATTTCAATAAACCCTAAAGCAAGCACAGTGAATTTCAAACAATGGAATATTTAAAGGTTAAAAATGGAATATTTAAAGGTTAAATAAAACTGCTATGGCTTATATCAGTAACAGGTGAGGACACAAATCAGTTCCGCAATGTTAACAGGTCATAAAGATTGTAAACATCATAAAAACTCATCTGTAATTAACTGAAAATAACAGGCTGCAAGAAAATCCTGAGGTTTAAGTTGAGCTTATAAAGACATTAGTAAACATTAATAATCACAGAATTACAGAATGGCGAGGGTTGGAAGGTACCTCAAGGACCATGAATCTCCAACCCCCCTGCCCCAGAGGGGCAGTGCCACCAACCTCCACACTCAATACTAGACCAGGTTGCTCAGGACCCCATCCAATCTGGCCTTGAACACCTCCACGGACGGGGCATCCACAACCTCTCTGGGCAGCCTGTTCCAGCACCTCACCACTCTCCCTGACATCCAACCTAAATCTTTCCTCCCTCAACTTAAAACCATTTCCCCTTGTCCTGCAGTTATCAACCCTTTCAAAGAGTTGATTCCCCTCCTGTTTATAGGCCCCCTTTAGGTACTGAAAGGCTGCAATGAGGTCACCCCGCAGCCTTCTTTTCTCCAGGCTGAACAAACCCAGCTCCCTCAGCCTGTCTTCATAGGGGAGGTGCTCCAGTCCCCTGATCATCTTCGTGGCCCTCCTCTGGACCCTCTCCAACAGCTCTCTGTCTTTCTTGTACTATGGGCTCCAGACCTGGACGCAGTACTCCAGATGGGGCCTCACAAGAAGAGCAGAGTAGAGGGGGAAAATCACCTCCCTGTCCCTGCTGGCCCTGTCCTCTTCTGATGGAGCCCAGGATATCATTTGCTTTCCGAGCTGCGGGAGCACACTGCTGGCTCATGTTAAGTTTTTCATCTATCAGGACCCCGAGGTCCTTGTGTGCAGGGCTGCTCTCAAGGACTGCTCCTTCCAGTCTGTATGGATGCCTGGGATTCCTCTGGCCCAAGTGCAAGACTCTGCACTTTGCCATGTTGAACCTCCCATAGGTTCACCCAGGTGCACGTTTCCAGCCTGTCGAGGTCCCTCTGAATAGCATCCCTTCCTTCTACAGGAACATAATAACAAAACCAACTATAAAATACTTAACCACTCCATACTTTGTTTTCACTAATGTTATCCCACTTTAGTTTTATCCCAGATTCCCATGACTACAGTGTTGGAATGGAAGGATAAAAGCTTTTTAGGAAGGACAGGCAAGGGAGGTGAAGCGGAAGTGTCACACTATGTCAGTGACAAGCTGAAGCACACAGAGTTCTGTCCAAGGATGAATGAGGAGATGACTGAGAGTTCATGGGTAAGGATTAAAAGGAAGAAAGGGTTGCTGACATTATACTGGGGGTCTGCTACCAGGAGAAGCAAGCAAATGAAGCCATCTACTAACAGACAGTTAACCTCTCATTCACACCACTTTGTCTTCATGGGGGACTTCAACAACTCTGATATCTTTTGGAGGGACAACACAGCAGGACATAAGCAACCCAGAAGGTCTCCTAGAGTATGTTTGTAAGTTTGTAAGTTTGTTCTCCAAGTGATAAAGGAAGCAAAAAGAAGATGTGCTATGCTGGACCTCACTCCTGTCAATAAGAAGAAGCCTGTGGGGAATGTGAAGCTCAAAGGCAGTCTTGGCTGCAGTGACCACGAAATTCAAGACTTCAGGATCGTTAGAACAGTAAGGAGAGCACACAGCAAGCTCAGTACCCTAGACTTCAGCTGAGCAGACTTGGGCTTTTCAAGGATCTGCTTGGTTAAGTACTGTGGGGTAAAGCCCTTGAGGGAAGAGGGGACCAAGAAAGCTGGCTAATATTCAATTATCATCTCTTCACTATCCAAGAGCTATGCATCCCAGCAAAGAAGCCAGGCAAAATGCTAAGAGGACAGCATGAATGAACAAGGAGCTCCTAGCCAAATTCAAAAACAAAAAGAGAGCCTACAGAGGACAGAAGCAAGAATAGGTAACAAGAGAAGAAAACAGAGGTATTGTCCAAGCAGCCAGAAATTAAGTTAGGAAAGCTAAAGCCCAGACAGAATTGAATCTGGCCAGGGAATCAAGAGCAAAACAAAGTGATAGCAAGGCTATTCTAATAATATCTAATAATTTTTTGTTTAATTGCAGCAACTGAGAGGAATATCCAAAGACTGTGGGGAAGAAATCACTCCTATCTTAAAGAAGGATGAGAAGGATGACCTAGAGAACTAAAGGCCAGTTAGCCTCATTTCAGTCCCTGGGAAAATGATGGCTCCAGTTAATTACGGAAACCACTTCCAGACACAAGAAGGAGAAGATTAGCAGTAGTCAGCATAGTAGTCAGCTGCTAGTATAAAATCACAAGTCGGCTGGATGAGGGAGGAGGGGTACGTATTGTCTTCCTGGACTTCAGAAAGGCTTTCAGCACTGTCCCATATAGTTCTTCTCATAGAGAAGCTGTTGAAGTATGGGCTGGATGAGCAGACAGTGAAGTGGATTAAAAGCTGGCTGAACAGCTGGACCCAAGTGGTAGTGGTCAGAGGTGCAAAATCTAGTTGGAGCACTCCAGGAGTCCATATTGGATCCAGTCCTGTTTAGTATCATCTTTAACAATCACTGGAGTAGAGTGCACACTCAGTATGACCTCAAGGATGACACAAAACTGGTGACTGAGTAACTGAGTCACCAGAGAGGACAAGTAGCCATCCAGAGAGACCTTGAGCCCCATGCACCATTACATGCTGGACACCACCCAGCTGGAAAGCTGGTAGAAGAGGTGTAACTATGATCCTGGACCCTGATATTATCCATATAATACAAAGGAATGGAACATTTTCCAATGTGTCTCTATGGAGTGAGACACTCCCAGCAAACTGCAGTGTCACTGGGGAGCACAGAACCAGGACCCCAGTTAATTCCCTCCATGACATCTTTCTCAGCCTTTCCTCATAAAGGAGGTGCACCAGGCCACTCATTATCTTTGTGGCCACCTCACTCTCTCCAGAAGTTCATTGTCTTTCTTGAACTGAGAAGCCCGTAACAGGACACAGTACTCTAGGATGTGGCCTCAACTTGCTCCACCTGCTGGCCATGCTCTTTTTCATGCACCATGGAATACCACTAGCTTTCTCGTCCACAAGGGCACATTGCTAGTACATGGTCAAACTATTGGTTAGCAACACTAGCTTTGTTCCCAGAGGAGATCAAGAAACATCTATCAGCTGATTAAGCAGCTAAGTCAGTTCCTAGTCTCAGATGAGAGGATGTCTCAGAGGTATCACCTTATGTGGCAACATAAATGAGTAAACTCACAAAGGTTTCACTTAACAGATTAGGAATGTAGAAGAGCTGGAAGCAAAAGACCTGAACAAGCAGCATCTCTCTTATGAAAATCCCAAGCAAATTCATCTTCCATACTCAGTGCTGGACAGAAACATGGTCTACTGACCACAGTCTGAATTGGATTTGAGACTCTGGCTCTTTTCCAAGCACTCCATAGTACCATGGGACATCCTACCCTGGCTACTTTAATAATTTGAAAATAAATTTTTTACTTGAAAAACTGCACTTTAGGGTATGCCCAGTTCCCAGCTCAGTGGAATCAAGAGCTTTGAATGACAATGTCCTACAAATGCATGATCATGACAGTTTTGCAACATAAATCTAGTTAAAGCAATGTAGGGAGATTCAGAAAATCTAACAATGGCTTACCAGTGGTGGTCTGTTTGACAAACTTCATAAAAGACCAGATTAAAGACTAAACAAACCTGCAGTCATGTAGGTAACTGCTAGAGCTGTTGCAGCAGATTCTGCAGCTCATATGAGTGCTGCTATGCTAAGATCCAGAGATGCAGTCTTCTCACTTTACAGCATTTGCTCTGCTAGCAGATTAAAGCAATATCTAATTAAGGGAAAACGGCCCTGACTTCACGTTGAAAGTGGATTTGTCAGCCAAAACCAGGAGCCTGCATGTACTGAAAGACAGAGTCTGACAAAGCTAGCAACAGGATATTTGATGTTTATAGTCTTTGCAACAGTGCTAGTGATGGTGAACGGTCAGCCCCAGATAAGTTGCAGACATATCTCCTTGAAAGTGGACCCAGAGTAGTTAAGTCCAAGAAAGCTATAATTTTTGCATTCTGTAAGTAATGAGGACATTTAAAGAGCCTACACTGCTCACTGCTAAACCTGTCTAGAACTGAAATAAATCATGAGTCATTAAGTAGTTTCAGTGGGTGACACAATGAGTAACTTGTTTCCTTGGATACATGAATGGAGGTAGGAAATGTGCTTCTTATGAGAATGAGAAGGTTTGGCTCACACAGAAATGATTTTTTATTATATTACAGTGGAAGACAAATAGACTTTAGCTAGCCAGACGCAGAATATAAAGCATGAAGAAAGCTTTTCCAACCTTGGGAAGAAATTAGTTTAATGCACGTGCAAGCTGTGGCATAGCACTAGCCCTAGTGTCAATAAGAGCAGCAGTAACAATTCTGAGAGATCCAGAAGTAAATTTGAACTCCTTTCTGAAGTGGTTTGCAGACAACTCAAAGGCTGTCCAGTGATGGTGAAAGACAGCAACTTGGATCCCTTGCTAAACTATACTTTTTAAAAATGCATTTTAATACTAAGCACATGCAAAGTCACTGATCTACAAGCTTCTAATATAAATATACTGTTGGGGAAACATCTTACAGAAAGCTGTAACTCAAAAGAGTTAAAAATTGTAGAATCATAGAATTGTTCACCTGAGATAACAGTGCTACATGGCAGTGAAAAGGGCTAATTTAAAAGGGCTCTATTATAGATTGCTGAGATTAATACTAAACTACTCCAAAAAATAACAGATATCATCTACATTTTTAATATAAAGCAGAAAAGGAGGAACAAATTATTTGAAGGATGGAGGACATGAACTGTAGCTGGAGACCTACAGAATCCATTCTGACAAATTTTTCCTAAAAACTGAGAAGTGACTTGGTATAAATGTACCACAAGGAAACAATATCAGGTACTTTGATTATTTCTTAATCTAGAATAGACTAGCATAACACAATCATGACAGGAATTTAAGGCTAAATGCATTCAAGTTAGATATAAGGTCCATAGTCCATGAAACAGTTTTTATACAAAATCTATTCACAGAGGAAAACAGAATGCAGGTCTTCTCCAGACCCTACAGTGCACATATCTGTCTGCAGTGTGGGAAATTACCAGGTAATCCATTACACTGCCTCTGAGATCTCTGGAACCAAGTTCAGCAGAGCAGTACTGCTAAAGGAGAGAGGATGAGGTCCTGCTGTGCATCATATAGCCTCCAGTCTGATGCCTGAGCCTTGCAACTGAGAGGTATATCGGATTAAAACATAACAAGCATGATGATGAACTATCATCTCCCTGTCTCCCACTCCTCCAAAGATTTCTGGGTTCTTCATTCATATTTAGCATATTTATGTTTTTAGCAGATGTACTGAGTTAATGCTGTCAAATCTGGACATTTCTGAACAAAGACACAACAAATTGCTGAAATATCTAAGATAAGTAAAGGTCACAAAATACAGAAAGTATCAAATTAGTTGTGCTGATGGTTCCAGGGCTGGAGTAAAAGTATCTAAATTCTGCAGAAATCCTGTTGATAATCTTTGGACATGCTTTGGAGCTAGTCTTTTTCCTCTATGAATCTATGATAATAAATAGATTCTCAGGTACATTATACAATATTCTGTATCTAGCATTAAGACCTAGTGATGCTTTCTGCATTACAAGCAGGAATGTTTTATTTATCTATTATTACACACTGTAATTCATGCTTTTTATAATTTGTTATTATATTTGAGAGTGTACCGGATCTCAGACTTTGAACACAATCAGCAACAGGTTGCCTATTCCTGACTTTTCACTGACGAATAGAACCAGGAATCTGCATTAATAAAACTTCACAGAGAAAGAAGATTTACAGCCTCCAGCAAGCTGGTTCAAAAGCCCACACTTGGTAAAAATATCCCATTCTATCAGGAAGAATATGTCATCTACTGAGCTCTGACAGATTCAGCCTCTTAATCACAAGAGTTAATCAGAGAATGGCTTCCTGCATCTTGACTGAGGCTAGGTATGCGTTAGCTGTTGACCAGAAGCTTGTGCAGACAGGCTTTTGATTTAAAAGATGAAGAAAATCTGAGTGAAATTTAGAAATGAACTACAGAAAAGGCCTGTTCCAGGTTTCAGAACCAACTTGCATATGGCTGTTCTTTACTGCTACACAATTGTTCCATTACTCTGCTCAAGGCAATCTTTTATTGGGCTACGTTTATTTTTTTCTGGGAACAAAAAACGTCCGAATTACATCATAAATAATCCATACTTCTCTAGGGAAAACAGATGCCAAACAGACATTTCTAACTTACCTCTCCGATTAACAGGATCTTTAGCTACATATGCAACATAGTCAGTTGTATCCTGAAAAAAAGTTAGCGACACTGAATGCAAAAAATTTGCACAGATTAAATCAAATTATCGCAGTCCAGAGTAAATATTCCTGTGAGTATGGGCTCAATGTGACATGTTTTGCTCTCCAGTTATGCACTACTTAAAATGAATAAAAACACTTAAGTGTTTTGGTATGATGATCTATTCCAGCATAACTTAAAAATCTCCTTCAAGGTCCTTGAAAATCAATTAAACAAATCTAGTAGGATGAAGATAAGGCCTAATTTAGAGGGGAACAGAAATTTCAAGTCCTCATCTTTCAAGTACCCAGAGAGTTTGTTTCAGAATACAAATAAGCAACGGGGTCTGTGACAGAAAAAGTAGGACTGATGACCTTCAGAAATATTGAGCAGTGTAGTTCATTCATGGATAACAAATGGGTGTATTTACACTACTGGCTACAATTACATACTGCACAGAGGTGATCAACCATGGCTAGGCTGTCACAAGCAATCTTCCAGGACAGTCTCCTGCCCATGGGACCTTAACCGTCCCCATTCCAACATGCCAGGTGGATTTTCTGACAGGAGTGGGTTCATGTCTTCTTTTAGGATATTTTTTCTGCTCTCCTGTCACCTTCACACATTGTATATCTTCATGCAGATGAAGGAGAAAGGACAGTGCTCCCAGGAAATGTGAGGTCTACTGGCACATCTGGAAAATGCCAGGTATCCTTGATGTAATCAGGAAGTTTTGGTTAAATCCAGCATCTCCTAACATGCCTGGCTAGTGATGTATATCTAAAACTAATTGAGACATATATAGGATATATACTAATCCAATACAGTTGACTATTATACCAAGATCTAACATCATAACAAACATCAATATACAATTAAATGACAGATTTCTTTAATTTAGCTCCCCCTGAAGCAAGCATATATACACCCCTTCCAAATCACTGCTACCTGTATATACAATTTCCTTCCTAAGGAGAGGATAGGGGAAATGATGAAGTACATTCATGGTTTTGATGACAGATGAATAGTCGTATCACTTAATGCTCTATTGAAAGATACTCAGGCACAGTGGTAATGAAGTTGGTCTGTTAAAAAAAAAAAAAAAAAAAAAAGAACAGAAAAGTGCAGACCAGCCCTAGCATTTTTTCTGGCAATTTCTTAAGCACCCAGTGACACAGCGTCTGGGCAACAACTTGGAAGAAATGATGCATATTAGTCAGTAAGGAGAAAAGTAGTTAAGTCCATAATAGCAAATAAAATAGGGCCAAAGTAAAGGCCTGAGAGTTGTCTCACAGTTGCTCATATTTGCCTGCAATGGTTTCCCATGCAATGCCCTGAAACTGTTCAAAGGGACAGCACATGCTGGGCACCAATCCCAGGAGACCACTGGGAGGGAAGAGAGTAGATATGCAGATACAAATTGCATTGTGCTATTTGGTTTTGGGGTCTTAAAGTAGACCATGAGTCATTTTGTTTATTAATACAGACATAGTTAATAGATATATTTATGCCTGAGTAAATCTTAGATTTACTTCATAACATTTCTGAGTATGGGTATGAGAGACTGGAACCACCTACTCTTTATTTTTTCTAAAGCCTCTTCAGACACAAACTATGATGAACCAGTAAAGATAAGAAGTGAGCACATTTAAAAGTGAATAAATTATAGGGTTCTCATCAAAAGGGCATGCTTTCAGAGGCATCAGCTGGGCAGAAACTGATAAACCGCTGTCCTCAGGACCTCTGACAGACTTGCCTCTGAAATCTCAACAGGCAACACCAAAGCCAAATGTCTTGTCTAGCAGCCTGGAAACAGCCATCTGAAATGAGTACGGATGAAAAATGTTTAGTGTATTATAAGGAGGGACTATAGATCACTAAACCAGAACAAACGCAGTTTTGGAAGTAAACTAAAAATGATTCTGTAATGGTTTGTAAAAGGATCTGATGGAAAGATTTTAATTTCTCATACATTGATTAAGTCAGAAAAGGTCTGAGTCATTGCAAACAGGAATATTGCAAATATGTATACGGTATTCAAACAGTTCTACAAGACCAAGGAACACTTTTCTGATGGATATATTTTCAGTTATGAAGGTGATTAACACTTAGAGAGTAGAAGGAAAGTTGCAAAGGTAATAGCTAGGAAAAATATGTGGCAGAAAACCCAAGCAGAAAAAATGGATGGGTTGAGGAGTAGAGGCAAACCCACTTCTGAATAAATCAAACTTCAAAATTCAGAATAAGGGAAGTGTTCCCTGGAGTAGTTCAGGCATAGATCTCGGCTTCTCATGTTTTGTGCAGTACGGCCTTTCTCCCTACATCTGAAATCTTACAGAATGAGATGAGTGTATGGACTGGGACTCAACTGTGCTTGGGGGATAAGATTTGGTGACAGCAATTTTCAACCAAGTGGACATAATTAAAGGGCTGATTAAAGTTTTGTCTGAATAACACACGGGTGGGTTAATAAAGCAGTCACATCCCTAACATTCACCTTCTCTCCTATTCTCTTGGGACAAAGGAACCACCAACAGTCATCACGGGGTTATCCCTACATATCAGTCCGTGACAGGGGAGCACAGGCCCCAGGAAAAGAGAAAAAAAAAAGGAAGGGGTAAAACACTTTGTCACACGGCCCGGCCTCCCCTGGCTGCGTGCGCTCTGGGAGAGGGGGAAGGGCAGAGAGCTAGCAGATAGTTTTAACAAAGAAAACACAATGGCTACGATCTGAGGAGGAACACTAGTTTACTAAATTAACCAAATCAAACAAAATGAGAGCGACGAGAGTACCCAAAGTGCGAGTCAAACCACGATAGTGCGAGGGAAGCACGTGTTTTTCTCTGCGGCGAGCTGAGACGGCTGATTGGGGCTCGGAAAGAGAGGCAGGCCCTGGGGTTCTCCAGAGCTCCACCTCACTTCCTCTTCCTGCCAGGTCCTCCAGGGATGCTGCCCCTCCCCTCCTATCAGGATATTCAAAATGCCTATAAAAGGCAGTAAACGGGACCAGAACATTAACTCTTTAACTGCCAGTGGCCCACGATGTTTTGATGTGAAATACTGACAATAAAAAATCACCAAACCACAGCGTTTATGAACCAGCTTTTGATTTAAAGTTGTGTCACGTTCTAGCCCCCTGAGATGAGCCTACACAGTGTCACACTTACCCCCTCCACCTCCAGAATGAGATCATATGAGTGGTCATACTGAGAAAATAATGTTACAATTTCACTGTCTCTCAAAGGCTCTCTCACGCCATGCCGTTCGATTTCTCTGGTAGCTCACTGACTGACTAGTATGATTTTCTCTTCAAAACATTTGGAAGACCTTGTTCACTCCAAATTCAGTCTCTACTGCTGTTCTCCTCTTCTCTGGTAAATCACTCTATCACAGGGCAGTGTGCAACTTAGCATTTGGGATGGCAGATGGGGAGCAAAGAATCTTCTTAGGAAGGCAGAGATCTGTGCTAATCGCTCCTTTGCCCACTTCAGTAATTGTTCATTTACAGCATCCATTGCAGTCTGTTGTATTTGAAAGCTGCTGTTAATTTATTTTTTGTTCCTCAGATTATTATGATACGGTGTCCTTTTCCCTTCTGGAACTTAACTGAGTTCAGCAGAGCTATTCAAAGATTGAAGTTTGCCCTTATGTTTACCAAGGATAGCAAAATGAACAGAGGAAATACCACCAGTCTTCAACTTAACAGTTTAACTGAGAAATAACTTAGAAAGGCAGGCTGTAAGTCACCTTACCTGTGCTCTATAACAGATAAATTGTTTAAGATAATATGACAGAGCAAAAAGTAGGTTCATACAATTAGTCTCGGCTTAAAAGATCTCATATTCCTAAGGTTCTGAAGAAAGCACTGTCCTGTTTCACAGATCTTTCACTTCTTTGTAAATGAGAAATACTTTTAGAGCACATTTAATATGCCTTCAGATGGGCCACTCATAAAGACAGGATAGAACACAACCAGAGTTTGCCCTTCAATCTAAAATGAATCAAATGCGTAGGTGTATCTGAAAACTTTGCAAAATTACAAAGAAAGATCTAGCCTTTTCTGAAAGCCAGTCTTCAATCTGCCTGTGTGTAATGAGTATACCTGAAGGCAGTAGTTAACACACTCTTTTCATTGTATTCTTCAAGACAATAAGGAAAAAAACCTATACATATACCTGCAACATAACTGTATATTACTGCAAAGAAGTCAAAATAAAAAACATTCAGGATGAAAATTCACACAATACCCATTTGCCTCTCCTACAGTGAAAAATGGAGCTCCACTTACCAGTTTTTATATGAATGCTTGCAGCCCTTTGATACTTTTCCTTTCAGACACTCAAAGAGCAGGATTTATGACTGCCTGACAGTAGTTTCCCTCAGAAAGAGTTTGATGGCAACAATCAAGAAGAATTCATGAAACAAGAAGCAGGAGCTACGGTAGTTGTATTTTTCTTTCAGAAAGGTATACAATAAATTTTGTCATACAGTTCTCAAAGCATTATCTGTGTGGGAGAGAGCTTTAAAATAAATGCTTACCGGATCACCTCCAGATGCAAAAGAGATAGACTGCATATGGTGATTTGCTATGATCTGTATCAAAAGATCAAAAGAATGAAGTGCAAGTCAGTAGGATTTTTTTACACAGTTTACCCCTTTTTGAGGGTGAAAATCCAAAACCAAGATCAAAATAAACGGTGTTATGTCTACAAAGGAGTGCATCTGTAACATGAGAATGTAAACAAACTCAAGGATGAATGTATTCATTCTGATATTCTTTGGAACCTGGCAGGACACAGCAAAATTGTTAAATGTTCTTAGGACTCCAGTAAATCATATAGATTTGTCATACAGAGCCTGCATGAGAATTTTTAATCTGCTAAAGTTTACTTTCTTTATCACAGTTAATGATGAATGGAGCAAAGGGTCCCCTTCATCAAAATACTTTCCTGCTGATGCCATGCTAGTGAAATTGATGACATCATGCCAACCTGCACACCAGCTCAAGTTCCTAATATTCCTTCCAATAGCTCTGTATCGTTTTATGTTGCAAACATTTATGCAAACGGGATTTTCAATCTAGCTGCAATCTAGCATCATGGTCAAAATTTCAGGCATACTCCAGGGCTTTGAAATGACTAAATTCAATTTGCTTATGTACAATCTGAACTAATAAGATATTTCACTGAAGAGATGAATTGTAGTGAACCGCTATTACAAGGATAACAGCTCTGCTGCACTGCTGTGCTGAGATTTAACTTATTAAATCTTTTAATAATAAAATCATGTAAGAACCAAGAAAGAGAAGGCCATTTGAGAGAAAATTTCTCTTGATCATTTTATTCATAGAATTCATACTAAAGTATTCATCTGTTTTAGGACAGGCCTCTTACTCAGTGCCTTGGACATTTAGATCCCTCACTTGGAGAGGGAACCATAAATTTAAGAAAACCATTTTTTGGGGGGGAGGGAGGGAGATGGGTTGGGGGGGAGCGGGCAGAAGAGGGAGGGAAAGAATGACTCTGTAAAAAATACTCTGTGATGTCTTTATTCATCCGAATTTTAAAGATCTGGACTAGCAATTATCCTTCCTTAAAAGAAAACTTCACCAAGTCAGACGGAATCAACACAGACGTCTCACAGTGCTTATTTCATGCATAGAACATTACCTTTTTAATATTCCTCCTTTTCCATAGCAGCCTCAGGATATATCCTTAATTTTTAAGTTTTCAGTGCAGAACCACCACTCTGTATTCAGCAGTGAGAATTTCTATATCTTTTTTTTCCATAAAAAGGAAGTGAACTTAACAATGAAAGTGAACTAATAGATATTTTCTGCACCTTCGGTATTGTGCAAACATCTCATTGTACATCATTAAAAAGAAAAATTAAGATTGTCTCAAAAATATTTTTTCAAATTTTAAGGAAATGTAAGACTTTTTTTTTTTTTTTCAAATTCCATAGTTAAACATTTTAGATTAGTTTGAGGCAAACTAATTTTTTTCCCCAATAACAAAATATTGAAAGGAGTGTCAAATAGTTGGTAACTTGCCCTAATTTCAATGAAGGAGTTTGTTCTGCTTGGCACATTGTTCGGAAAAACCTCAGCCAAGCCAGATCTGCACTTTAAACAAATAAAATGAAACAAAAGAAAACAAAAAGGTTCCATATGCCTTTGCTTACCATGGTCACGATATTCTTGTGCAGGGACATAAGCCACTGCTTGCCTGCCACCCAAGAGCCTGCAACATCCTTTTTTCTTTCATTTCACCTCCTCTGGGAAGAAGATGCCCACAGCCATATTCCTCGGTGAAGCCTCCAAGGGCAGAGCTGCTGTGCCATGCTTATTTTCAAATCAAATGCTCAGCACAAACAAGAGGCAATAGTTAAATTGGATCTCTGAGAAACCAGATGTTTCTCAAGCTGGGAGCATCCAGGATAATAATGAAATGAAAGAAACAGTTTTGTCAACTCCTTTTTTTGTTTGTTTTTCAGCTCACTGGTTATCACTTCATCACCCACAGAAAAAAATCAAAGCATTTGGGGGAGGATCCTTTTCAAGGATATAACATTTAATTGCATTTCTACTCTGATGTCAGCCGAAAACAAAGTCACTTTCAGGGTCTGGCACTTTTTTAATAGATGTAATATATTATAAATAGGTAAATAGATGTAATATAAATAGATCAAGTTCCTATGCTTCTGACTGTGGGCAACTGTCCTCATGAAAAACATCGCTTTATCTATAGCATAATAAGGCTCCAAAATACTGCAAGCAACCATAACACTGTACTGATTGTCTCAGTGCTCGTTGTAGAAGATTACAGTGCTTTTGAAATAGAGGATAAGAATCTCTGAAAATATAATCACTGAAAATATAATAATGAACAGCAGGCTTTTTAACACATAATGTGTATATTCATTTTCTTCTATAATCCTGAGGCTCCTGAAGACAGTAAAAACATTTTTTTCCCCATCTGGGCAGAAAGTTGTGTGCCTTATCACAGTATGTGGCTCCCTGCAAATAGCATTGCAGTGACTACACAAGCCTGTCTGCTTTCTCTATACCCTGAGCAAGGATTTTTCTCATCTCATACATCATTCACAGCCCAATGCAGTGTTTCCCCAGTGTCTGTAGGGTACCTTCAGCACAGAGAAGAAGAAGAAATGGGCTGCCTGAAAAAGGCTGCCTAGTCTTTTGAAAAGACTGGCATTTCAGTGCACTGCAAAATCCCTCCAGTTATATTTTTTAGCAGCACTTTAGAAACAGTTTGCCCTTCAGGGCTCCAAGAGGGAAGAATGAAAAAAATTCAGGGTTGCACATTCCGTCCTTTAGTCGCCTACTCCAGATACACCTCTCTGAACACTTTGAATGCTTGTAATTGTGCCTAATAAGAACTCCTATAGCCAGTGAATGCCTTTTCAAATTACAGGTCCCTTAAGAGCAAAACCTCAAGCATGGTAAGGAGAAAATCAAATCTGTGTCGAATGCTCCAGCATAATATGACTCCTAATATGATTTATATTCTATTTTCATTCACTTTATTAACAATATTGAGTAATAACACCTTGAGCCAGTACGTTGGTAGACTACAAATAACTGCACACTATGCTGTTTGCCGAAAGACTCACAAATTAATATGGTACTTATACTCACCTGTTTCATATCAGGAGTCATAAGGTTTAAGCTTGCAATAGAAATATTCAGCATTATGCTCATTCCTGCAAACTGAAGATTGCTCTTTCCCAAGATGCTGGACAGAACTTTGTTTGGTGTCTGTGGGGGAGAAAAAGCATATTTTTGTTCTGTTTACTTGGGCGACCTTTCTTGTAGATAGGGTTATCCCAAATAATAAAGTCACTAACCTTCATCGGAACAGCTGTTTTTCTCTGGAGATAGTATCTCATTTCTACTATTCTTACTAATAGTGTTTACAAGTTAGGTAGGTGTACCCTGACGCCTGATCAAACTGTAAAGTAAGAGGTTACTTCAGAGCAGCTCATACATAGTTCACAAACTTTCCACCTCTGGCAGCTCATACAGCTGCCTTATCTAGGTAGACGCAGCCTGAAAAGCAGGCTGCCCAGGAACAGCAGACAAGCCATGGACATACAGCTGCACATGCATGTTGATAATGAGGTTATGAACGCAGAACTGTGACTGCAGGCAGTGTTCCTCTGCCAATGTATTTGATATACAGTGCCTGCAAGGTTGGTAAGCTTTGTCTCTACCAGACTGGCCAATTTTGTACTCCTCCTTAAAGCTTAAATTCATTGTTAACTTTTTCCTTTCTGTTTGATTGATTAAAAACACACTGACTACTTATTACTTGCATGCAACATTTGTGCTTCATGGGTTTTAATTCATAATGTTACAGAGACAGTATTTTCACTCAAAGCTTTCTAAAACAAGCTCTTTTAACTATTTTTATTTCTTTTTAAACCCTTCCCAGCTGGGAATGGCTGATGATCCCCACTTAACAGTGCCACTGTTCTCAAGAAGCCTCCTTAACCAAATCAGTAACCAGTAGAGGCAAAACCATGGAAGTTACACCCTGACATCAGATAACTCATCTTTAACATTTTGCTGATATTTTGTTGCTGGGCAAAATTTCTTCTGAACCAGTAGATTTATTTTAAGAACAGTACTTTTTCACAACTGATAAGTGACACTACTTCTAAATATAGTAATACTGCAAGGTGTCTCACTAGGCATGTGAGACTCTTATATTTTGCGTGACAGAACACTTAAAAAAAGGCATTTTGCCTTTTTTGGTTTAAAAGCAAAGGCTGCAGAACCTAACACTGCCAGTGAGATAAAATTCCTGGAGAAGACAAGAATCACAACTTCAATTCTGAGACAATTTCCAATTATGCTGTCACAGATGTGGTTCCATTGCCTTATTTTGGGAATATTTCCTATTGCAGAAGCAGAATTCAGTCTCTCTGTTCTGTGGGGACAGCACAAATGGCCAGGCAGTGGCAAGCAGGCAGATTTCACTTTCACCTGCCTGTTCCACCACCTTCTGCATCCAGAAACACACACAAGTGTCACAATTAATTTCATTCTGCACTCTCTCCCTGAGGCTTAGCGTTGAATCCCAGCTTTGCTCATGGGTATGTAGAAGAGCTTATGGTGCTGCAGGGACCAAGTCAAGGCCTCCTCCATTCATTGCCTGCAGATCCTAATTCCTACTATGCACATAAGAATCAAAGTATAGTAATCAGTGTGATAGGCCAGTGCTGCTCAGGGAAGAGCATGTGAAACAGGAAATTGCTGGGCACATTCTTTCAATTTCCAGAAACTAGCAATTTCCAAACTCTTTAAATGTCACCAGAAGAGCTATGCTCCTCAAACAGATCTAGTCACTTTCAAAATAATGTATACTTTTGAACTCTTCAGTAGTTTCCAGTATGGACGTTCACAATTCACTCATGTATCCCATTTTGTTTGGTTTCAACCTTTCACCTGCAAATCTACAAAAGAAAATACACACACAATAATGGAGTTCCTACAGTAGGAACAAGCTTCAGTTTGTTTTTGAGATGTACTCCTACTTCAAGATTCCTGTAAAAGAAGATTCTGACAAAAAGAATGAGAGGCAGTATACAGTGTGTGAAAAACCAAATACTTTAAATAGTTAATGATCTGCAATTCTAAAAGCTGCTTTAAGTTTCCTGCCTGCTGTGCCTGGTCTTCTTGGTGTTGAACTAAGAAAACATAGTAAACTTCACTACAAGAAGGGAAGAATACCTTTCGTTTCTTGGAGGCTCCTTTGGCACCAGGCACAGCTTCACAAACACGACTGATTGCTTCCCTGAAAAGACAAAAAAAAAGGTTTTTGGCAAATGTACATCTGGATTTCTTCATTGTACTTCTGAAATGCACTGGAAAAGACATTATCTCTGTTCACATGTGAGGACAGTTAGTGAATCAGTGAGCTCTCCTCACCAATAAAAGAGCCACTATTCTGATTTAGACTACTTCAGAGTAAAGCAGAAGGCAACAAGCAGCCAGCATTAATGCAAGGAAAAATACTTTGAGAACTGCAAAGGATAAAAGTGTTTTCTCACACTATTAAAGAGATCTTCCATCGCTTTAAATTAGAATATTTATTTTAATATTTTCTTCCATTTCTCATTCCTGTATCTTATCAGGCCACGAGGAATCAGAACACAATACATGCATTTAATTAACGTTGCTTTACACCTTAATTTTAATACTTTCCTGTAAAGCAAGGGTTAGTAACAGTTCTTTATCTCACTTCTTCAGACACAGCAAAACCACCTTTTTGGCTTTAGACAATATCAGAAACCTGCAGTATTCTTCGTAATGTGCATGGTGTATGAAGTATGTTTTGACACAATTTTAACTGATACCGTGTTCAATATGAGCTAAGTAATTTATTTGTGACCATATTTTTGCTATTGTAATCAAAATTAGTGCTCTAAACATTTTTCCTCAGTTTTCCTCATTCTTCTCATCATATACCACATTAAGTGAAAGAAAATCATATTGAAAATGAATTTGAATGACGAGAGTAACCATGTACTAGTATTTTTTTTTCAAACTGTACAGCGACAACAAATCCTTTATATACCCTCAGTACTTAACAAACGATTACAAAAATGGTCAATCATCTGCCTGTTGTTTAAAATGTGCTACTCTGCATATCCAGACATTCCTGTGACAATTATCTACAGTGCTTACTGTACTGTTAATAGACCTGCGCCACCGACACTGCAATATAGAATTGTTGCATGGAGTCCAGTAAAGCTGACTGCAAATGTTGTTTATTTAAATATAAATTTGGAATAATAGCTCAATGTCTTTTGACCTAAAATCTTGCAAAAAGTGTGTATTTTATGCAAACAATATATAGAATGAAATAAATTAACTGTGAAATAAAGAACAGTCAAAATACTCAAAGCATAGAAACACAATCTTGATAAGAATATGTATTATTTTAATTTTGTGCCATATGCAAGATGCTTTTTCAACAACACATTAAGTGAATGCATAGGATCAACAAGAGAGTCTGGAGAGAAACACCATATATATTTCAGCATTCAATATGTAATAGCTCAGCAAATATCACAGATTTACCTATACATACTTAGTAATTAATACATAGTTGTGCCTGGGCTGGTTTTACTTAGGGCAGGCCCAAAGTTCAAGTCATATGAAAGAACTGCATGTTTTTTGGGGAGGAGAGTAAGGGAGTAACAGGCCTTGCAGCAGATTTAATATCCTGCCATTCTGAAGCGAGATTTAATGAAACAAATCAATGAAACAAATCATCAAAAAGCTTTCAGATCCTTTCTTCAGGTCCAGAGGAGAACTTGCTTTCTCTTCAGGTCCAGAGGAGAGCTTGTTTTTTCTCCCAGCTACATCTGCTCATCTAATAAAATTGCCTCTCACTACAAATTCTGCTTTGTCTATGCCCTTATACCATCACAGCTACAATAGCACCCCATTTCACAGTACAGTGGTCATTCCTACATTCAACACAGCACTTCTTTGAGCCCAAACAAATCTTTTAGTTAAAGTAGCTACTAACTTTTCTCACACAGAAGGTAAAAAAGTTTGTTTAAATAAGCAGCTCTGATATGTCTTAGAAATATAGCACAGCAAGCATCACAAACGCTTATTGCCACGAGATACTCAGACATAGGTTACTTCTGAAAATGTAATGATGAAAAATAAATTTTCTTCTCTGCCAGAAAATATTTTCTTAATATTACACAAAACCGGCAGGCATTATTTCATATAGAGGTCTTTATCTTTTTACTGAACTCAACATTGTTGTTTTCCATCTCTTTCTTACACTGCACTGGACTCTTTGAAGGCAATGTGGCTGGAAGCCCAAAACTCTCAGATCCATACCTCATCCTCCCCCACTGCAAACTGCTGTCACAGATCACCACCAGAACTTCATCCTTATTGTTATCAGTGGCACAATGGACGTAATAAGATCCATCATAGGTTTTGCCTATTACAAAAAGACTTTGCATTTTAGATTCAGTGTGCTTGATGGATATATTTGTCCATAATTTCCTTTCTCTTCCTATTGCCTTCCTAATTTTCTATTTTTTGCAGCAATGTGAAGTGAGCAGGAAGAAAAGGAAATTTTCTGGTCATTTTCTGGCCTGGCCAAAACTGTTTACAAGTATGTAGTTTTTCTGGTGCCGAGTTGGGGTTTATAATATTTCTAGTACTGCCTTTTGTGTTTGCCATTTCCAAGTTACCAGGCATAAAGTACGTAACTCAACATACCAATCTGACTCAAGGACCTTGTTGATCAAAACCGTGGCTTGTTTATGTGACAGAAAATGAACCAGCTCTAGAGGGGCTGGGGACAGCAGGGCAGCCTTGGTTTCTGTGGACCAGTTGGGAGAGCACAGAACAGCTGAAAAGCCAGGGTACAAATCCTCCTATTCAGTAACAAAGCACTATAGATCTTCCTGTAACAGTCCTTCCTTTCAGTAAAATACTTCAGCTTTATTGAACTCAGTGTTCCCAAATGCATGAATGCTGGATGTGGAAGGAAAGGTGACAGCACATTGAGATGCATGTCAGGTAAGCAGGTAATCTGAACTGAAATTTGACAATTTGTTTAAAGTCCATTTTTAAAAACACTGTGAATACTAAATCTACTCAAACAATTGCAAGGTTTGAGTTAATGCTTTTGGTGAAAATACTGGGAACTTCAGAAAATATATTATTAAATAAATCGTGAGATCAGTGAAGTCTGGCAACAGTCCTTTATGTACCTGTAACAAAAGGTTCAGTACCTTTCTGCCAGGGTTACAGAGAAGTGTTATGGAAGGAGGTGATAAAAACAAGAAGAAAAAGGGCAATTGAATACCTGACACCACACAGATATGCACTTTTTGGGGGGAGGGGTGGAAGGTTCCTGAATCTCTATTCAGAATATTCTAAATCATCTTTGGGGTCTTGTCATGGTTTCGTGATTCTTGGTTTTGGTGTGTTATCTTGCATTGCAACACTATATTTAGTAAATTAGTTATCAGATTGTTGCCGCTGTTTTTAATTATTTTGGGGTCCCCTGTTTCCCTTTTCCAGAGGTGCAGATTTTGTGAAATCCCTCCGCCCCAGTAGTCATGGAACCCAGCCGAACCAGCCTCTAAACCGCATACAGGTCTTTGCACAGAAAGTCATCTAAAGACATCCTAAAGGCCTTCTTTTAGCTTACATTGCTAGGCAGTACAGAGGAGACAGTGTTTCTCTTTTAAGCTTAATAGATTTGCAAATGTCTAGCATAAGTACCTGAGCCACAAATCATACCCAGAAATAGAAACAGCTGCTAGGCTGAGAGTGCAATTATCTGACGTGCATACAAATGCTTGCATATGGAATGCAAAAGCAGAAGTTCTGGATGCCTTTGCAAGGTTGAGCAGTTGCATGGACTTTGCACAAGTTGGATGTGACTTGATTTTCCTTCTGGTAGGAGTTATTTGACAGAGGCAGACAATACATCTTTCTATGCCACATACCATCTTAATCACTGGGCACAGTGATTAAAACCAGTGTTAATCCTGATATCTTCTAAAATTAGCTACTGTGCTGTCTGCATGAGGAACCAAATGCTGAGTTCCAAATCTGTCCAAGGGTATTTCCTATTCTGCAGACGGTCATACTGTGGAGTCATTTTCTTGGCACAAAACTCGTTTTGCATTTTGAAAATATTTTCAGCATGCAAATATATCCGGTGAAAAATTACCAGTGTGCATTTCCCCAGACTGACATATTCTACCTTGAAATGACTCAACATCTCTATCAGAAAAAAAAAAAAAAAAGGAGAAAAAAAAAAGAGACATTTTATACTGCTACTTTGTTTCATTAAAAAGGCTAATGCCCTGATATTTTTCATTACTTTAGTAATATTTTTCTCTGACAATCATATAAAATAGCCCATTCAGGAAGCTTAAATCTATTCCTCTATTAAATAGAGGATTTCTCTATTAAATAAACACCACCATATGAAAATACCCTCCTTTCCTATGATTTAAATGATGAAATGCTGAACCTTATTGCTGCTGTTTATAATTAATACAATTTGAGTAAAAAAAACCCAAACACAACAATTATGGAAATTGTATTTCAGGGAAATGATAGCACATAAAATTGAGCAGATTTTTCAACATATGTGGAAGAAGACTAACCACCTCCAGTATTAAGACTAGCAACTCTGGCTGGTTTTTAGTCTGAAATATTTTTTATGACTAGACTAATAAACTACCAATATTCTCTCATTAATTTCATCTAGAATCTTTTAAATCCCAGCTTTATAACTGCCACCTCCAAAGACTAGGGCTTCACAAGTTTAAAATTAGACATAAAAAGATGGGACTTTTTTAATGCAAGCATGACATATCTTGGAGAACTGTACTTAATGCTTCCAGTTATGTCTTCACAGTGTTACATTCCTGGCAGTCTTCGTTTAATAATTTGTAAATCAGATGTACCAGTATCCGCTGAGGAGATACAAAGTGCTATCTATGCTAAATACAAAAATAACTTGCTTCTGGAAGAAAAAAAAAACAGAGAGCAAAGAGCACTCTCAGAAATCTGTTTAATAATTGAAATATTACTTGTTTGTTTGCAAAACAGGAAAAATGACTGAGTGCTGCCTGAAGTAGCATACGGGACATGCACAGACTCTGAAGACTAGACCAAGACATTACAGTTTACAGAACTTTAACTGCCAATAGACATGATAGGTGATGTAAGGCTGAAAAAGCAGCTGATTAAAACAGAGTGGAGAATACAAAACACAGAGCAGGGTTCAGGCAC